CACACACACACACACACACACACACACACACACACACACACACGTCGAGCCACTGGCTCGTGGGCTACACGGCGAAGGTCTGGTCCGGTGCCTGGCAAAGCCGCTTACGCCCCTGGGCGTGACCGTAATCTGCACCTGCCTGGAGGGTGGCACCGTGGTGGGGCCACTGGGGGGGAGGGGGCACATCCTATAAAACAGTGGTGTCACCTTCCAAGTAAGACGTGTATCGGGCGCCTCAAACCCAGCCCCCTGCCTTGGCTGGAGCATGGCTAGGGGACGTGACCCCGCTTGCCCCGGGGCGTCACTAGGGAGCGTGGGTGCACCCAGCCCGCCAAGCTCGGTGCCGCTGACGTTCAGTCTCGAGACGCCGCCACGGTGTCTGTCTCTGTGCTGCCAGGTCTCTGCGGAGGGAGCTCTCGCCAGAAGGCCGGGGCGTTTGCTCTCCGCCGTCACGGGGCCCAGTTGAGTCCTGGGCCCCGGGCATTGGTGGCTGCGCTGGGATTCCTGACTGGGGTTTGGCTGCCTGCTTTGGCCACTTCTGGTCCAGGCCTGGGGTATACGGCGCAAATAAACAACTTCCAATAAGCAAACTGCCAGCTCTGCCGCGCCGGTTTGAACGCCGAGGCGAAAGCGACCGAGAAAGGGCCGGACATCTGCTACCGCTCGGCAGAGGGACGATCGGCTTTCAATCAGTTTCTCTCGCTGCCCCGTTTTCGAGACAGCTTCATTCACTTCGCAGATCTCGGATACAATTTTCCAAACAATCTAAATGCCTGAGGTGCCTAATTCTCATGGGACTGAGGACCCTGCGGCTTAGAATCCCAAAGGGATGCAGGCTCCTAACTCCCATTGGATCCTCACAGGTATTTTGGCACTTGTGCCCACATTAATAACAAGTTTTTAAGGCAATTAAGCTGTCTCTAAAGCCAGCTTTAGAGGAAAAGGGCGTATGTGACTTAGGACCTTTTGAAAAATTCTCCCCTTCCTTAGCTTTTATTTATATTTTTATAGACATCTAAAAACCTAGGAAATTCAGTGCAAAAAACTTTGTGATTATTTGAACATAAGCTCAAACAGAGGGCTGGTCAGCAGCCTGAATTTCTATTCTGTGGGACATTCTGACATTTTGAATTTTGCTCGTTCTAAATAGGACCAAAAAGTCAAAACCTGAACGCTGCCCGCAAAAGGAAAATTCCAAAAAATGTCTGCGTGGGACCAGCCAAATGTTTCGGTTCCTTTCATTTAGACTTTTAATAGTCTATTAAAATATTCAAGGTCATATACATGATATTGACACAAGCTTAAAGATTATGTAATAGTACAAGTCATATTTGGAATGTAAAAGTCAAAACGAAACACTTCCACGTTGCCAAAATGAAATGATTTGTCTTTTCCCCGTCAAAACCCACAAATTCCTGTGAAACATTTTGATAGCTGGGTAGATTTCTTTCAAAATAAGAATTCCAGGCACTTCATTGTAAAAACGTTGTGAGGATTTCAAACTGTTTCACGTAAATATTTAAAATGGTTTAATGCGTCTTCAGGTTTTTAGACAGCTTCGTTCAGCCTAAAGATAATTTCTTTCTTAAAAAACAAAGGGGGGGGGGAATTCAGTAAGAGGGACCCTGGGTGATAATTTATGCACAAATATGTAATACCTTTTTGGCTTTAGAGACAGCTTAATTGCCTTAAAAACTTGTTATTAAAAAAAAAAGGAAATTTAACATGAGTAAGGGCCTCACTTGACGGGGGCTTGGTCCATGACTGGAGCTGTCAGAGGCTATGAAAATACAAATTAATAATAATTTAATTCTAAATATTTAAAACAGTTTAATATCGCTTTGGCACTTGAGGCAGGGTAAGTCGCTTTCAAGGATCTTTCCTGCCTTTGATCAAAAAGCCTAGGAAATTAAAAAAAATTGTTTAAAAAACATTGTTGGGATTGAACTACAAACCGCTTTAGGGTTTGAGGCACTTCACACAAAGGGTTTCCAAGCACGACTAGTGATTTTGTGGGTAGAAATCAACAAAGGAACAAACCGCTTTAAGGACCTTTATTCTTTTTCTTTAAAAAAAAAAAGAAAAGAAAAACCAAGGAAATTCAATGCATAAAACTTCGTTAAAGGCAAAAATCGGAGCTGCCTGGCCAAAGACACAAAACTTTAAAACTGCGGTTCCTGCTGCTACGTTGTCTTAGCTAACGCTACTCAGGGGGCGCGGAGGTAGAGAGAAATTTCTGAGCAGTTGTAATTCCAGGGGCCAATTTAACTTTACGGCCTGTCTGCTTATCAATCAAAGCTACAGCACAAGTTCAGTCAGCCACAGGTGCTTGATATTTTAAATCCAGTTCTAAAGGAAGGATGGTCCCGCCGGGAACTCAGGACACCTGGGTTCCAATTCCCAGCACTGCTGCTGTGTTCCTGTGCGACACTGGGCAGGTCAGTCCATCTCGCCGTGCCTCGGTTTCCCCCAGACTGTAAAACGTGGGGTAACTGATGCTTCCCTTTGTCTGATTTGATTCTAAAGCGTTGGGGGCAGGGGGCTGGCTCTGGTTATGTCCAGCTCCGAGCGCCAAAGGAGGAAGCTGGCCTGGAATCCAATGAAACGAACGAAGGGCGTTTGCTACGGGGATGTCCCATGGTGGGTTGCTGGAAGGCTGGGGGTGGGGAATGGCGAGGTGTCACTCGCCCCGGGATGCAGGTGTCTCGATTCGCTGCAGCGCCATCGTGCAGGGTTTAACGCGTCTCAGCCACGCGCTGGCAATCGTGCATCCGATACGCGCACATGTAAAATATCCCTGTGAGGCGGAGAGAGGGGCTGTTTAACAGCACTGAGGGGTCAGGACTCCAGGGTTCTCTCCCTGGCTCCAGGAGGGGAATGGGGTCTAGTGGTTAGAGCAGGAGGGCCTGGGAGTCAGGACTCCTGAATTCTCTCCCCAGCTCTGGGAGGGGAGTGGGGTCTAGCGGTTAGAGCAGGGTGTGGCTGGGAGCCAGGACTCCTGGGTTCTCTCCCCAGCTCTGGGAGGGGAGTGGGGTCTAGCGGTTAGAGCAGGGTGTGGCTGGGAGCCAGGACTCCTGGGTTCTCTCCCCAGCTCTGGAAGAGCCAGGACTCCTGGGTTCTCTGGGAGGGGAGTGGGGTCTAGCGGTTAGAGCAGGGTGGGGCTGGGAGCCAGGACTCCTGGGTTCTCTCCCCGGCTCTGGGAGGGGAGTGGGGTCTAGCGGTTAGAATAGGGCGGGGCTGGGAGACAGGACTCCTGGGTTCTCTCCCCAGCTCTGGGAGGAGGTTACCGGTCAGAGCCGGGGGATTCCTGGACAGGGAGTGTGAAACAAGGAATTGGATGAGGAGAAAGGTGCCCTATTGCCACCCCCAGAGGGGAAAGGCCCCATTGCCAGCCCCCACCGCCCCGGGGCTGGATGAGAGCTGGCGCCCCCTAGAGGGGAAGGGCCTGTACCTGCGAAGAAGGTCATGAGCAGGGCAACCCAGCCCAGGATGTAAGACCAGGAGAAGCGCCAGTCCCCGAACCGCTTGCCCAGGAAGTTGACGGTGACTCCGGTGTAGACAGCCATGGCCAGCAGGACGAAGAGCGCTGGAGGGGGTGGGGCAGAGAGACCGATGGCAGGACAAGAGGCCAGAGAAACCGCTACATGCCTGGGAAGTGTAACTACACCACGCGCCCCTCCCAGAGCCGGGCGAGAACCCAGGCGTCCTGGCTCCCACCGCCCCCCGTCTCTAAACACTAGACCCCATTCCCCTCCCAAAGCCGGGATAGAACCCAGGAGTCCTGGATCCCACTGCCCCCCGTCTCTAAACACCAGACCCCATTCCCCTCCCAAAGCCGGGATAGAACCCAGGAGTCCTGGCTCCCAGCCCCTCCCCGCTCCCCCTGCTCTAACCACTGCACCCCGCGCCCCTCCCAGAGCTGGGATAGAACCCAGGAGTCCTGCCTCCCAGCCCCCCCACCACTGTAACCACTAGACCCCACTCCCCTCCCAGAGCTGGGGAGAGAATTCAGGCGTCCTGATTCTCAGGCCCTCCTGCCTGGGAAGTGTAACTACACCACGCGCCCCTCCCAGAACCGGGCGAGAACCCAGGCTTCCTGGCTCCCACTGCCCCCCGCCCCCCCGTCTCTAAACACTAGACCCCACTGTCCTCCCAGAGCTGGGGAAAGAACCCAAGTGTCCTGGCTCCCAGCCCCCTCCCCCCACTCTAACCACTAGACCCTGCTCTCCTCCTTGTGTCTTGGTGGCCAGCTGGGGTCCCTGCGGCAGTGGGCAGACACTTACTGGAGACGAAGAACATTATCCCAGCAGCGAACGACCGGTTGAATTTCTCGAAGGTGGATCGGTGGGCGAAGGACAAGATCCCCGTGATGATGCCAGCGAAGCAGGACAGGGCAGAGAGGATCATGAAGGCCCGGGTGGCGTTCCAGTAGGCTAGAGCAGCGGGGAGAAAACACTCAAAACCGCTCCTGTTTAGAAGGGGACGGCTCGCCTGGCGCACAGATGCAGCCACCTCTGGGCTGGAAGCTGGGGAACAGCCACATGTAATGCTGCATGGGGCTGGCTCTCCTGGCACAGACATGCAGCTGCCTCTGGGGCGGGAGAGCTGCGTAACAGCCACACATAACACTGCACAGGGATGGTTGGCCCACTAAGGAGATGCAGCCACCTCTGGGGCAGGGCAGCTGTGGAACAGCCGCACATAACACCATGCGGGGCTGGTTCGCCTGGTGCTGAGGTGCAGCCACCTCTGGGGCGGGGCACAGTGGCTGGTTAATTCACAATTCAGTGCAATTTAGGAGGGGAAGCAAATGAAAATCTCAGCTCGAGGGAGGATTTAGGGAAGCCGAATGCCTCTTGGAGGACATGCTAGGGCCTCTGGGAGTGCCCCTAGCGCCGCCCTGGGACATCGGGGCCAGCCCTGACTGCCAGGGGAGAGCCCCCACCCCGCCCCCTGCAGCACAGCGCCCCCTAGGGCATCGGCGCCAGCCCTGTCTGCCAGGGGAGAGCCCCCACCCCGCCCCCTGCAGCACAGCGCCCCCTAGTGGTCCTTACCAATGTTCTCCATCTGCATGTAGCACTTGCCCACCAGACAGTAGCGCCAGAGGCCCTGGTGGGCCAAGGCTCCCTGGAGCCGGTACTGCACCCAGTAGTCAGTGGCTGTGCAAACCACCAGCAGGATGTTCCCAACCGAGGCGCAGAAAAGACCCCCTGCCATGAAGCTGTACATCCTGCCTGAGCCTGCAGACAGCACAAAACCGGTTAGGGTTGGGGGCTGGGAGCCAGGACTCCTGGGTTCTGTCCCCAGCTCTGGGAGAGGAGTGGGGTCTTGTGGGTAGAGCAGGGGGCGCTGGGAGCCAGGACTCCTGGGTTCTATCCCTGGCTCTGGGAGGGGA